TTTGTTATCATTCAATTTTAATGTTATACACGTAGCATGTAATTTGTGTTAGACGAGTATACTCGTAACATCTCTCGTAATTTAATATAATAATATTATATAATTAAATATATATATTAATCTCTTTTTCCATTTATTATATTTAAATATATTTATATATATTTCTATATATATATGAAATTCTAAGATAGAAATAAATGTTTACAGGTAGTAATACTTATGGTGATCTTGAGTACGGTGACGTGCTCACAGTTGACTCTGGTGCCGTACGCCTATCTTGCGGATCCACTTCCGGTGTACCATCAGTCTCAGAACACGAGAACCGGGGAACACGCGTACAGTTATTCAGGTGGACCCTCGGCAAAGGAAGAAGTCAAAGGTCCTGATGGAGTCACGAGGGGATCTTATAGCTACGTGGATGCTCACGGAATCTTGCAATCGGTTTTTTATGTTGCCGATAAGGGTGGCTTCCGTGTTGCAGCAACGAATCTACCAACTGATACAGATCTGCCAATTGAAACGGCTGATATTATTTTAGCTAAACGAGCGCTTTTCGAGGAACAGGCCAAAGCCAAATCCTCATCGTCATCGTCATCGTCATCGTCATCGTCATCGTCATCGGATGAGGAAAAACAATCAACGATGGTGACACGTAGAAAACGTAGTACGGAAGAGGAAAATGATTCGAATAAAAAAGAAGATGATTTAAATAATAAGAAAGAAGATAATTCAAATAAGAAACAAGATGATTCTACATTGGATGGTAAACCTTATGGAGCATTGGCAAATATTTTATTACCAGGATCGATACCAACAGCTACTTCTCATCAAAGTCGCCTACAGATTCATCAGAATATTCGCACAGAAGGTATTGAAACGATTCCCAACACGGTTACCACCGTTAAAGCTGCTGCCGCTGTACCGGTTTTACCTCTTCTGACCAATCCAATTCAATTGAAGACTATTGATGTGATCAAATCTCCTGTAGCCGTTCTGGTACCTAAGGATTATCATCAGAATCGTATTCAGATCCATAGAAATCTTGGATTGGAAGGAGAACAGCATAACAAGGATGCGGTCAAGATTGAAACGGTTCAACAACAACAACTACCACTACTCTCTTCCGATCCGGTTGTTATCCTGGACCAACAATCTTTTTATCCTTCATATACTTCTTCCGTTTTCACTGAACTTCCTATTAAAACTATCACTCGTACTCATTTAAATGGCAGCATTCAAATTCCTAGTCTATTAGAATTGCCTACTACGTTTTATCATGCTATTCGTTTAGCTAGATCATCGCAGAATGATTCTCAATTAAATAATCAAAATGATTCAGACGAACCTATCAAATTGTAGAATTATAATTGGCATTTTCTTTTCTTTTCATTTTTTCTTCGACATCTCCACTTTATTTCCATTTCTTCCAGCTGTTACACTATTCGGAAAATCTCTTTTTCCAGTTATTATTTTTTTTTTTCGTTATCGATCTAAGCTCTTGATCATAGCAATGAAACATATATACATACATACATGCAAACGTGTTAAAAATATGTGTATTCTTTATTGCGTCAATATCATTGTATCATTGTAATAAGCTTCACGATAGCACGTGCAAAAATAAAAATCACTTCCCCCTTTTTTCTCATTAATATTTCACTTTAAAAAATTTCCTGTTACTTTTTTTCTTTATCTTTTTCTTTTCGTAACATCTAGTACGATCGAATTCCTATGAAAAAAATTAAATCCACCTCTTCGAGGACATTTAATTTTAACACAGGGAATGAGAGAGAGTGAGAGAGAGAGAGAGAGAAGAAGGTGACCATAATCGTTTGGAATTTTCACGGAACACGAAATGTCGGAAACGTTTGGTATGACAGTAGTATAGTCGTCGACCTCGATCTTAATTTGACGAGCTGTTCTCACCTAACTCCTCCCCCCTTCCTACTCTTTTTTCCTGTTGTCAGATCGAAACCGACTTTATGGAATTTAAATGACTTGTTCTCGTATTCTTTATCTCTCTCTCTCAATCGATAATACACTGTCGGAAAAGGTAAAGAAAAAAAAAACAAGAACAAAAAAATGAGATAAAAAGGTTCACGTTCTTGTAGTTCGATTCAGCAGGTGGAGAGTCAAGATATTCGTGACCTCGAAAACTTGGAACGTAATCGACCTTCGGTTTTTATATTATTTTCGTAATAATGCTTTTATGGATTTTTCTTTTATTTAATTACTTGTTGTTGTATTTTTCTTTTCTAAATTACAAAGGTATCGATACGTACGTAATTATCTATGGGACAGGGTTAAATATTTTAGAAAATATTACGATCCTGTGTTACATTCTCATTTTTAGAATTGAATTAATCAATTCTCGTTTATATATCCTTTTTTTTTAACTAAGCAGCAAGTATCTTTCATCAACCCTTTGAGGTACACACACGAAATTGTATAAAATAAAAAGGAACTATCACGTTGTACAATAAAATATTATTTCATTTTCAATTGCACACGTAAAAATGTTTGGAAATGGGATATTATTTTTCACATTATAATGACATAATATATTTTTCCATTTGAAAATATATTCAGGAATATATTCATGAATATGTTTATGCTATTATGTGTGTATACGTTATGCGGTTATATAATTTATAATTCAGGTTATTCGTGAACAATTTAAGTTTTGTATGAAACAACTAGGTAATATGTATTAGATAATAAATTCATGAAAGTCCTTGTAGTATATAGTTAAAATAAAAGAATAAAATAAACAAATGAGATAATCAAGTTTTCATTAAATTCAATTCTTTTGTTATATAGGATAGTATTGTAATGATCTTACTGTGAACATTTTGCATGTGAAAAAAATTGGAACACTTTGAAATAATGTCATATATCTCAAAGAGTTAAAGTATAATACTTCATATATATGTGTGGGCGACTTAGAAATATATATATACATACATACATACACGACTTATATAGTACTTAGAATGATAAATCGAAAGAGAAGTAAGCGAAGGATGGGGAAGTTTGAAATCGTCGAATAATATCGTCCAACCTTTTTATTATCAGGGTCGTTGTTCCCCATATTTCTCTTAGAAACCTCGTAAAGAATCGATTTATCCGGTTTCCTCCGGTACCTACCTAACTCCCCAAGTATATACACACACCTTTCGTTGGATCGATCTAATCTCTGAGTTGGACAGTTGCGACAAGTGTCCTATCGGGGTCGTCGAACCCCATGGAGCTAAGATTAGACGCGTGAGGATAGAGTGAGAGAAAAGGGGGGACTGAGGGAACAGGGGAACGGAAAGGGAAACGAAAGAGAAAGAGAGAGAGGAAAATAGGAAGAACTTGGAGAACCCCATAGAATATCTCCTAATACGCGTCTAAAGTTCGCCTCCACTTGGCATACCACCATATACACCTTTCCTTTTTTTTTCTCATTCCTTTTATTTCTTTCTTCCTTCTATTTCTATCTCTTTTTATTTGATATTTTTTTTTTACTAAAAGGATACTCGTTTCACTCGAGTCACCAAGAGGCCCCTCAACCTTCTTATTTTCGCAAAGTGCAAGTTGCATATGGCTTGTACTATTGCGTGGGTGTCCGTAACGGATGGCTCGGTGAAACAGTCCACAGATTATACTCAGGATCGGTGGTACATTATGCCAACTACCACGACTGTAATTCGCTCTCCTATGTCAATGTTAGATCATTTCTAAAATCATCTATAGTTAAGTTACTATCTCTTTCAAATATAACAAAATGTATTATTGGAAATGGGATATTATTTTTCACATTATAATGACATAATATATTTTTCCATTTGAAAATATATTCAGGAATATGTTCATGAATATGTTTATGCTATTATGTGTGTATACGTTACGTGGTTATATAATTTATAATTCAGGTTATTCGTGAACAATTTAAGTTTTGTATGAAACAACTAGGTAATATGTATTAGATAATAAATTCATGAAAGTCCTTGTAGTATATAGTTAAAGTATAAAATTGAAATTAGATCTATCTTTTTATCTTTCTACAAACAATACTCGTAGTTTATCCGTTCTTATCTCTTCCTGTATTTTGAAAGCCAATGTTCTCGTTAGTTGGTGTACTGTTCTATCGGATCTAATTTCAATTTTGTATTTAAGTTTACGAACAATTTTGTTTATACCTATTTTCTACGAAGACCCGTCAAATTAACGGGTAAAAAGAAATATATCGTATTTTATGGTGTAATCATGTTGTACAATATTTGAAAATTAAAAATCTAAACCCCCTGCCCCCAGTCCCTCAGCCACGATAAAGGTCCTCTTGTAAGTTTCATAAACTACTAGCATTTAATTAATTCCTATGTTACATAGAATGTAAAGTATATATCGTTCTGTATATTTTGATATTTAAAATGATCAATACACAATTCATAAATTATTAATTATTCAATACGATAATAATAAATTATTGAATTTCATGATTGTTAACAGTTAACATATGTAACTACTATATATTATAACATATTAAATATAAATATG